AAGGACTCAGACTGTCGCCCTGAAAGATACCCCGCTTAATCCTTATTAAATTCGGGGCAGCAGAAGAAGTCATCTGACCTGGTTGACTAAGAAACGTAGACCATTGACCCATGCATGAGCTAAGAAAGGAGCATAGTATGGGATTTATTTTATATAGCTCTAAAACTCTCATTAGCCATGTATGAGGCACAGAGTCATATGCTTTCTTATAATCAATCCAAGCCATATGAACGTTCCTCTTACTCCGCCGAACTTGTTGAGTAATGGTCATGTCAATGAGTAGCAAATCTTTTGTACCTCGAGACCCTGCCTTACATCCATTCTGATTAGGTGATAAAATGTTATTATTATAAATGTGATTTTGAATTTTGATTCTTATATTATATTTATTCTTATATTCTTATATTATTATTATTTGCAAAAAAGACCACAATAGATTTCAGAATTGAAACATAATTATTATAAGGAAAACATCGTAAGACTTCGTAACCTAATGGAAACGCCCGGTGCATATTCCTATGAAATGAAATGACTTTTCGGTGTTCAAATCTTAAAGGCAGATTATTATTAAGCTATTGCATAGCTCTTATCGCGGACTTTGAACGCAGCGACCGAATCAAGAAATTCCGTAACAAAAATAAAACCTAACACCCCGCACTCCGCCTATCATGTAGCTCGTGTTCAACACATTCACACGTTGCGCTTGTGTAGTGTTTGTGAATAAGCCCACGGGGTGACGTCGCACTGCATGCGCATCATGAAAAGTCTCCATCTCTCTCTCGCGCAGTCTAGCTTATGAGTGTGAAGGGGACAGTAAATGTTTTGAACGATCGAACGTTCGCAAAAGGGCCCCTTAAAACAGTCTGGCAATACCGAGCAAAGGAGTTCATTTAGAACCTGACATATTCCAGAAACTAATATAGTGGTGAATTACATGGCGTAATGGAAAGCGGTGTGGTAATAAAATGGAAAAGCATCGCAAATACTGATAATAAAGCCTATGGATTTATCCCTATAGGTAAGTTCCACCACCCTGCCTGATCCTGATATAAAGCAGTCTAGCGCTACTTTTCGAAGGGGGGAAAAGCCGGTATACTACTATTCAATTTAGATTTGAATCTTGTGCTTCAAGATGGATGGCGGTTTCCAAGTTGTGAAATAAGCTCCGGTAATACCGGTAGCACATGCGATAACCAAAGAAACTGATATATCTATTTAACACATGCAAATGGTGTTTTAATAGTATCACAAAATGGTACTAAACCTTCTTAGCAAAGTAAGCGAAAGGACTTACAGAAAAACAAGAAATAAATTAAAATATTTTAATAGATTAGGATCATTTTTCTTTCCAATTTTACTGACGGCAACTTGACTTTTCTTAGTAGAAAGTGGTGCGGCCGCATCCGCAGATGGGAGCACAGTGTCCGCAGATAGAGACGGTACCAACGGCGCAGGCCTGACCTCCGTACTCGACGGCACCGATGATGGGCACGCGACCAATGATAGCGGTGGTACCAGCGACGGGTAGCTCACCGACAACACCCACGTTGCCGATTCCCTCGCCGCCATATGAGCCACAGCCGGCGCCGTATCCCCCGTCGATTCCGTTCCACCCAGCACCGAGTCCATTCCAGCCTGCTCCGAGTCCGTTCCAGCCGTTCCAACCAGCTCCGCAGCCGCAACCGCCTAACCCTTCCAAGTACTGGCCGTAGACATTCTATAAACATGAAATGTACCTCTGTTTGAATTTCAATCCAATATCTCGCTTCATAATCTACCACCTAATCACTATGGACATGATAGAAATACGTGTAATGATCTAGAAAGAGTGTCATCACCGTAGCAATGCCACACAGAGACTTACAACCTTAGTGTATGGAGTGAATAGTGCAGAAGAACGCATGACCCTTTGTTGTTTTAACCGATTCCGACATGGAAATTTTAATCTGAAAGATGAACCCTGTTGTCGCCCGAAATCTAAAGTCAAGAACAAAGAATTAAGGGTGAAAGTGGAAGCTGACGATACTCAGCCAACGCTGTGTTAGCATCAGCTTTCAACTTTAGCAGCAGAATAATATTGGTCCATTTGCGTCAAATTTGTAAGGTAAAAAGGTCAAATTTGTAAAGTTGATAAGTGGTTGCCACAAGACCTAAACAATCTCCAGCGCGACGAACGCGTTAAGGTATGCCTTTTGTTGCTTAAAGGGCAAAAGAAACGAAGGGATTTCGAACCGCACTGTCATTTGCGATGAAAAATAGATAATAGTAGATGCTAGACCCTGGTGCAGCACCTAAGCAATGCCCGAAACGAAAGCTTACCCCTAAACAGCCACGTTCACTGTTGGTGGTCTAGTGCCGGTATTATTCATCACAGCTTCTTAACAAATTACAACAGCGCCAACAATTTTTTTTTTTTTGCTTAGGTGGTTGGACGATCTCACAGCCCACCAGGTGTTAAGTGGTTACAGGTTCCCATAGACATCCACAACGTAAATGCGCCACCCACCTTGAGATATCAGTTCTAAGATCTCAGTATAGTTCAAACAGAAACGCATTACTGCTTCACGACAGAAATAGGCAGGGCGGTGGTACCTACCCGCGTGGACTCACAAGAGGTCCTATCACCAGTAATTACGCAAATTATAACTTTGCGAGTTTGATTTTTTATTACACGATGTTATTCCTTTACCGTGGAAGTCAATCGCGAACATATTTTGTTGAGTACGTATTTTATTAGAAAAATTGGTAGCCGCCTGAGATTCGAACATCGGTGCATCGTTCAACACGAATGCACCGGACGTCTTATCCTTCAGAACTGCCACGATGACTTCTAAAATATCACGTGGGCTGTGAGCTCCTCCACATATATGACACAAAATAAGTAAAATAACACAGAGAACGCTTCTGCCCATTCGGCTTCGAATCCTTTATTCGCTACTTGTGACATTCACTGGAAGAATGCGAGAGTAAGGTGGTGATATTCTGGGCCGAAATTTCACAGCCAACCCGAGTATGTAGTGCGTAAGCAAAAACAGTCCAGAACCAAGGTACTCACTTGGATGAGGCAAACCTGCACGCAGAGGATGAAGAAATTGAAGGAAGAAGACATGTTGCTGTAAGATATTCACGAACTGGACACAGAATGATTTTACGTCCAAATAATATGTAGTATCTACATATTTATACTGCCTTTTTTTATACTACATTTAATACAATTTCATTAGGTTTACGAAATAATGATTCTTGATAGTACAATACTTTTCTTTTTGTGTAAATTACCACGTACCGTTGTATATTTTCGCCCCAATTTCACCATCGTTAGATAACACTGTTGTGAAAAGGGTTTACAACTCCGATGACTGTGAGTCACGTATAGTAAATAGATAATGGATGCATTAGAAAACTTATTCGTATAAAAGGAGGAATAGCTTACACTGAACTCATTGTGTAGTCATTCAGCGAAACAACATGACCGCTAAACTCATTCTCTTGGTCTGCATCGCAGCTCTTGCTCAGGTTGGTAAATTTTCTTATACACTGTTCTTTTGCTAATTCTGTATGCTAAAACTGTTATTATATTTAATCTGATGTGTCCACTGTCTAACGCATAAGACGCGAGGTGCTAAGTGTATCCAATAACTCCTAACACGTGCCCACGACTCCCAATAAGGAGCTTCATGTGTTAGCAATTAAAGCACCCAAATTTTATGACCTACGTTATTACTGACAGGGGTAAACACCACTATCGCGCTCAGGGATAGTTGTAGCATGCGTTGCAGTTTGAAAGTTGGGCTGAACGCGATACAGGGCTTTTAAGACTTTAACCCTGCATCCGAAGGTTGATATTGAAATATCTGTGGAGTACGGTTCTCATGAATTCATTTGTCCACTAAGAGCAATATGTTTTCTGTCATTTGTAGTCTGCTATGGGCATCGGTTGTGGCTGCGGTGGACGTGGTTACGGAGGTCTAGGGTACGGAGGACCTGGGTACGGTGGATTCGGATATGGTGGGCTCGGATATGGTGGCTACGGCGGTCTCGGAGGAGGATGTGGCCGAGGCTTCTCAGGTGGAAGCCTTCCTGTAGCAACTTCCTCTGCCGCCCCTACTGGCCTGGGTGTCGCGTCCGAAAATGAATACGAAGGTACTGTCGCTGTCTGCGGTAACCTGCCTTTCCTAGGCTCCGCTCTAGTAGAGGGCGTCTTTCCCACTGCGGGTCTTGGCGGTATCTTCTACGGCTGCGGCGATGGCTTCGTCGGCATCACCGCTGAGAGAGGCAACGGCTATGCTGGTGGTCTCGGCTACGGTGCCGGATATGATGGCATCGGCTACGGCGCTGGATACGGTCTTGGCTACGCCGGAAACGGATGCGGCTGCGGCTATGGTGAAATCTGGTGAATAACCAACCAATCATGCACCAATAAAACCTGCATACAATAAAAATATTTTGATTCATCCGCTGTTGTTTTAATTGTGATCATTGGAGTAGCGTGTTATTTTGCTAGCTCTAATGAAATGTCGAACTCAGAGTTCTTCCAACATTAAAATCACCGACAAGTCTTGATGCAATGATCTGTCATTATAGATGACAGCTTCTTGAGCTGTGGTCAAATCCGGTTTGAAAAGCAACGATATATCAAGATAATAGTAAAACAAACGTCTTGGCCATGTTATAAGAATCAAGCTAAATAATCGAATTCATACACACATCCTTAAGACGAGTATTTTATGATACTAATATGTTCTCTCTTAGTCTCTTCAATACTTATCATTTAAAGTAGTCATCAATTCTTTATTAGCTTAGCAAAATCAATTGAAGCAAAACCTTGGCCTGCTTCTAATAAGCCTAGCCTTTACAGATAATTAGTACTAGTGGAAGTCTTGAAATTCATAAATGGCTATCGGACCTCATGATCTATAATCAAATTTATAAATGTTATAATATTATTCTATGAGATTTAATTATTTAGTTGGTGGTAGGACCTCTTGTGAGTCCGCACGGGTAGGTACCATCACCCTGCTTATTTTTGAGGTGAAGCACTAATGCGTTTCGGTTTGAAGGGAGGAGGGAGGAGCTGCTGTTGTAACTACACTGAGACCTTAGAACTCATATCTCAAGATACTCTCATCATTTAACTCCAGGTGGACTGTGAGATAGTCCACCCATCTAAGCAATATTTTTTTTTTTTTAATTCTTTATTAAAACCAAGCTGCAGTTGTTATCTCTATATATAAAAATGAATTGCTGTTCGTTAGTCTCGCTAAAACTCGAGAACGGCTGGACCGATTTGGCTTATTTTGGTCTTGAATTATTTGTGGAAGTTCAGAGAAGGTTTAAAAGGTTTAAATAAAAATAACAATTTTGTTTTTTCTTTTATGTGTCCCCCGTCGGACGGATCCCTTTTGTTTGTTTTAAGTTATAATATTATACAAAAGTTTAGGTATTTCATTTATCGATTGAGGCCCTACGAAGTCTGCTGGGTCAGCTAGTCATAAAGTGTTTAAATGTTTACGCCATGTTATTTTTACGTTCAACATTGACTATGAGCTCTTTATTAGACCAGTAATTCGTTCCGGTTTGTAGGATGAGGCAGCCATTGTACTATATAGCTATATGGCTGATGTTTATGGGCTACAGCAACTACTTAACATCAGGTTGGCCGTGATCTCATTCATTGATTTAGGCAATAAAAAAAATTGGTTATCTTGATAATATAAAATATAATAAATTGAATATATATGTATAGTTATATTTATTTATTTAAGTACGAGTATTTGTATCTCGCGGCCGATCATCCACAAGGTGGACAGACTTGGTTAAGTTATCTACAAAGTGTTCCCTTACTGAGTGTGCACGTTTTTTATTGCTTAGAAGGGTGGACGAGCTCACAGCCCACCTGGTGCTAAGTGGTTACCGGAGCCCATAGACATCTACAATGTAAATGCGCCACCCACCTTGAGATATAAGTTCTAAGGTCTCAAGTATAGTTACAACGGCTGCCCCACCCTTCAAACCGAAACGCATTACTGCTTCACGGTAGAAATAGGCAGGGTGGTGATACCTACCCGCGCAGACTCTCAAGAGTTCCTACTACCAGTGAACCGTACCGCCACAAATAGAGAAAGATGGAGAAGTCTCTCAAAAGCCGCAACTAAACATTAAGACTTATGTAACCACGACCACTCCGCCAGAATTTTTCAGAATTTTTATAGATACAAACGACTGAGAAGAAGAAGAATTTGTATCTATAAATATTATGTATGTCATATATACACATATGTTTAAGTAATATTACTATCACACTACACCTACCAAGGTTCATCTCTACACTCCCCTAAGGTAGACTGTCACAGAATGCCTATGGCATTAAGTCCGCCTTTATACTGTCTAGTATATAAAGTTATAAATAAATAATAAAAACAAATGATTGTTTTAGGTAAGTCTCCACAACATTCGTCATCTCAGCCTTTAACTGTCCACTGTAGAACATAGGCCTTTCCAATCGATCCCCAATGCGGCCGGTTCGTTGCCACTTGCTTCCATCGTGACCCAGCGATTTTCACTAGGTCATCAATCCATTTGCTAAATGACCATACGACACTGCGTTTTAGAGTACGTGGTCTCTACTCAAGAATATTCGAAGATGCACTAATGCAGCATTCAGAAAAGCTTGCTGCCCTTTCTTGGATTCCTCAGCCACAGTATACTATGGAATCGAACAGATATAGATTGGTGAAATTCTTGGCACCACACAGCGCACTGCATATGAATCTATAAATATTATTGAATCTAATATTGTATTTAAAGTTAAATAAAAAATGTAATATATCTTTTTGCTATCATCATAATACTAACCTAAATTATTAATCGTAAGATTCCGTAGAATACAGACAGCAGAAATTCCAATTTTTCTTTTTATTATATTGGAATATGTGACTCAGTTGAAATTTTCTTAGACCGTTGGTTTCATTATATGAGAACGAAATTCTGCGGTTATAGTTTTTTTTTTTCTTAGAGACTGTTTGTTTTTGTTAACCTCTTTAGATTTTGTATCTCTCATAGACAAATTGACTGAAAAGGATACGTGGTGTTACGTGGAGGGGTTCTCCTTAAAAAATTATCTACGCTAAAATTATCAGAATGCGCGACAGTAAATCTTTAAATAAAAAATAGATTATTGCTGTGCTCTCCAGAGATTTATCTCTGGCAGTGAATTACTTGACAACCCAGCAAGCTAGATATAGCAACACAAAAAAAATAGACTTTTATAATTGGGACATTGAAATCAAAAGTTACGGTGTAGGCTGCAATTTTATTATATTCTCTCATTCCAATTAAGTATCAGTTCATACTATCAGTAGATTCTACCACATCTACATCAGCATCCGTTTCCGGCGTAGCCTCCATAACTGAAACTATATCTAGCACCGTAGCAGAGACCACCAGCGTAGCCGATGCTTCTCTCATCGGTGATGCCATGCCGACGCCGCCGTCATCGCAACCGTAGTTGATACCACCAGCACCATAAGTGGGGAACTCTCCGGCGTAATCAGCAGTACCAAGAAAAGGCAGGGTACCGCAGACACCGACAGAAGGCGGTGACAACGGAGAAACCTTCTCCGTTAGAAGCACCAAGGGCGAAAGCAGCGCAGATGTCCTTGACCGTTGGCCAGACCTCTATAACCATGACCGCCGCCACAACCACCGAAGCCAGTGTCGATGCGGTCAAGATATTGGCCCACGGCTGCCTAAAGATACGTGAAGATGTACATTTCAAAATAAAGATCAGCTTACAAGCATTGAGAAGCTTTAACTTGAGCAAGGGCAGATGCGCAGACGAAGAGGATGGACTTATGGATTTTGCGGTAGGCAGCGGCTTGGCTCTGCCCTTGGCATTGCTGAAGTCCATGGGCGACGGTAACCACTCACCATCAGGTGGGCCGTATGCTCGTCTGCCTGCGAAAAAAAAAAAAACTTATACTATACCACTGAATTACCACAGAATATCTTCATTGTGATTTATATCAGCTTCTATAAAAAACTATGTGCCAAAACAACATGACCTAAATAAAAACGTGCTTTGAAATGAATCAGAACGATAGCTTTCTTCAAATTAAGGTTATCTTGAATGTTGAAGAAATTTGGAACAAAACGTGTCAAAATACAAGAAAATCAAAAGTTTCATAATAACAAGAGTCGCTGTTTCGGAACGGTAAACAAGTTGGATGGATCAAAATAATATATAAAACTGAAGTTTGGGAATACATATTATGTAATATGTTAGATGATACTGGAGTAAATAACGCAAATTTGATTTATCTAAAAATAGAAAAGTTTATTTTTATTATAAAATTAAACACTAAAAACATTTACACATTGTGAATCTATTCACCTAAAAATAGAAAAATCGACAATTAAAGGTTTTTTACTTCCAATATTTCATAAATCACTTCACGGTCAAGATCAAATTCTCTATCTGAGTGTGCCAGTGCCAATGTCATTCTTATATATAATCTTACTCTATGGCCACGTACACAACATGCAGTCTACAAGCTTACACATATTAAATCATTACACCGGCACACAAAAAAAAAGATATCTGTACACCGGGCGCCACCTATCTACGGGCATGTTTTTTGACCCGTTGAATACAAATTTCAAGTTAGTTTAGGCCATTCAGCCTTCAATTTCAAGTAAATTGCAAAAATACCCAAAAAGATAGCGAATATTCGATGTTTTGGCAAGAAATTCTTTTTGAGATCTAAGGCAAGCATAATTTTCATGTATTTTGATCTGTTAAATACTAATTTCGATCGAGGACATTGAGATATAAGTTCTAAGGTCTCAGTATAGATACAACGGCTGCCCCACCCTTCAAACCGAAACGCATTAGTGCTTCACGGCAAAAATAGGCAGGGCGTTGGTACCTACCCGTGCGGACTCACAAGAGGTCCTACCACCGGTAATTACGCAAATTATAATTTTTATTTTTATTACATGATGTTCCTTCCTGATATTCCTTCACCGTGGAAGTCAATCGTGAACATTTGTTAAGTACGTATTTCATTCGAAAAATTGGTAGGAACTTGCTTGCGGAATTCGAACACCTTTGCATCGCTAGATACGAATGCACCGGACGTCTTATTCTTTAGGCCACGACGACTTCAATTAGATAAAATCCATTATATTAGATGCAAAATGCTTTCGAATATAATTTATTATAATTATTTTTGACTAGTTTTGGTGTACTATCTATCTATTCATTAGATACCCCCACATCCACATCCGCATCCGTTTCCAGCGTAGCCTCCGTAGCCGAGACCGTAACCAGCGCCATAGCCAAGACCACCGCTGTCCTCGGCGATGATGCCAACGGTGCCATTGCCGCAGTTGTAGTTGATATCGCCAGTGCCACAAGTAGCGAACTCTCCGCCGACGACTGCGATTCCGAGGAAAGACAGGTTGCCGCCCACGGTTCCTTCATACGTGTTCTCGGAAGACACACCCAGGCTCGATAGGGCGGCGGAGCTGGTGACGACAGGGAGGGCTCATCCATGGGACGCTCCGAGAGCAGAAGCATCGCTGATGTCATTGACCAAACCGCGATACCCAAGACCACCGCAGCCGCGACCACGGCAGCCACAATCACCGCAACTGGCACCAGCGCGACCCAGACCGAGGTACTGGCCCAGAGCAGCCTGGAGTCACAAATTATATTATTTAATCTATTAACAATACTGATATCTAGAACACATCGATATTAAATTTTATTGACTGAATTTGTGACCTGCGCAAGAGCGGCTACGCAGACGAAGAAGATGAGCTTAGATACCATTTTGGTTCACTGAAAGACCTTGGAATGGATTCAGTGTAAGCTCCACAACTTTTAGAATACCGGGTACTGTGGTATCTCACACACGTGACTTGACTGTGAAAGGTACAATCATTTTCGAAATACAATTATCTAAGAGCGGTATTAGAAAAGAATATTTAAAAGTACGTGACCTATATTCGATAAAAAATAACATTTCTAAATTGTATAATTGTTATTACGTAACGTTTTCGTAGTATCAGCTAACAAATGACTATAAAACAACTGAAATATGGAAGTAAAGTCATTCTGTATTAAATCGGAGTATTCTCTACAGCAACATGTCTACCTTCACATTCTTCCTGCTCTGTGTCCAGGCTTGCCTGATCCAAGTAAGTTGTTTCTTTTTAAATTTAATTTCATGTCTATGCATGCGTTACTTAGTTGTTGTCACATTCAATTGGTTTCTGAAGATATTACCGATATTTTGACACAGCTGTTACTTGAAGTTACTTTCTCTACTCCATGGGAACGATAGGTTGTTCTCAGAAAGAGGCATGGCAGGTTTAGTAGTTAATTTGGACGTGGTCTACTAGATATAGTCATTAATATTTCGAGTGGACTATTATCTTGTAACATCCTGTGATCCGATAAGGTAGACACTATATTTTGAATATTTTTAATTTTGTAGAACGTGTACAGCCAGTACTGGGGTGGTCTGGGCGGCTGCGGCTGCGGAGCTGGTCTGGGTGGCCTCGGACTGGGCTATGGAGCTGGTTGGGATGGCTACGGAATCGGATGGAATGGTCTTGGCGCTGGCTGGAATGGATTCGACGGTAGATACGGCGATGGCTGCGGCTCATACGGCGGTGAGGGTATTGGTAACGTTGGAGTCGCCGGTGAGCTGCCCGTCGGTGGTGTCACCGCTGTCGGCGGCCGCGTGCCCATCATCGGTGGTGTCGAGTTCGGAGGTCCCGCCTGCGCCGCTGGTGCCGTCTCCATCTGCGGACACTGCGCTCCCACCTGCGGATGTGGACGTGGTATTTACTAAGTGGAAATCAGTTTGATTTAAAAATCTATACAGTATGTGAAAATAAAATCTTTCTGAGACTGTATTTTGTTGTTTCTCATCCCACTCTCTATTGCCGTCTCTAAATGGTGATCCTGCAAAAAAATTAAAGACTATCTTATCAATTAAATCTAGACATAATTAAATTTACTTCTACTGCTTAAGTTACCCGTTTTCCATGACTAAAAAAATTGTAAATTATTCCAAAAGTCAGAAATAATATAATGACATTAAAAAAAAAACTAAGATCAGATTACAGTAGTCGCGGCCTAAAGGATAAGACGTCCGGTACATTCGTATCTAGCGATGCACCGGTGTTCGAATCCCACAGGCCGGTACTAATTTTTCTAATGAAATACGTACTGCCAAAATTAAATGTTCACGGTTGAATTCGACGGTGAAAGAATAACATCGTGTAATAAAACTCAAACTTGCAAAATTCTATGTATTTTTCATAATTACTGGTGATAGATAGGATGTCTGGTGAGTCCGACCGGAAGGACCACCGCCCCGCCTATTTCTGCCGTAATGTGTTTCGGTTTAAAGGGTGAGGCAGCCGTTGTAATTATACTCGATATCTTGAGCTTATATCCCAAGGTGGGTGGCGCATTTACGTTGTATATGTCTATGGGCGACGGTAACCACTCACCATCAGGTGGGCCGTATGCTCGTCTGCATATAGCCAATGAAGAAATAACTAGCCAGAATTCTTAAGGGATGGTATTAGAGTCACTATGCGTTTAAGTGGCTGGTTGTACCAGGCCTTCAGCCAATTACAGTTTACCGTTCGGTAAATAATGTTCAAAACAGATCTGATGTGAATCAGTGCACGTAAGATAAAAATGGCGAGATTTTTATTACTTTACTAGCTGACCCAGCAGACTTTGTAGTTCCTCTATCGAGAAATAAAAGACCGAAACTTTTGTACAAAATAAACATAAAACAAACAAAAGGAATCCGTCCGACGGGGGACACATCAAAAGAAAAACAAAATTGTTAATTTTCATATACCTACCTTTTAAACCTACCTTTTAGACCTTCTCTGGACTTCCACAAATAATTCAAGACCAAAATTAGCCAAATCGGTCCAGCTGTTCTCGAGTTTTAGCGAGACTAACGAACAGCAATTCATTTTTATATATTTTATATAGATTGGTCAGATCAATTAAGCAAAGATCACTGAATGAAAATAATAAACAACAGGCACTTATATACAAAAACTAATCGACAATAATACTGAGCGGTACAAAATGTCAGGTAATATGAAGTAGGCCCCATTTAATGTGGAGTCGCGCTTAGTTGCGTGCGGGTATATGCCTACTAAAGCGTCATTCGTCAGATATCTTTTTAGCTTCTTTTTTTCGCCCGGGCACCGAGCCTCCTAAGAGGTCTTCGCGTCTATGGGGCGCGTGGAGTATGTGGAACTGCAAGGTCCGCAGATGTTGGGAGCGGACCGCGGGCCCAAGGGATGGAATTTAGGACCCCACCCACTAAACGACATCTCTGCAAGCGTCCGATCCTCCCCGACCCCAGAACTAGGCTTGGGTAAGGGAACTACCGCGGCCAACACTGCAACCAGACAGGTATTAGCTGACTTTTTGTGTTTTGGCAGACTTGCAAATAAGCTTGCGATCTATCTGACATTATAATGGTTATCGGCATATGATATGAAGTGACCGCCAGCACCCACAGTATGATGACGCGACGTCTCTGACGTATTATCTTCATGAATTAATTTAAAATACCTCAGCCTGTATTAAACAACATTCTACTCCATAATATACACGGAGTATGTATATTATGAAGTAGAATTACAATTTTAATTTGAAATTTAAATTAATTTTACAATATGATCTTAATTATTTTATTTATTGCTTAGATCGGTGGTCGAGCTTACGGCCCATCTGGTGTAATATGATTACCTGAGCCTATAGACATGTACAATATAAATGCTGCCACCCACCTTGAGATATGAGTTCTAAGGTATAGTTACAACGGTTACCCCACCCTTCAAACCGAAAACCATTACTGCTTCACGGCAGAAATAGGCGGGGCGGTGGTACCTACCCATGCAAATTTACAAGACGTCCTACCACCAGTAATTATGCAAATTACATAGGATTGGCAGGTTTCATTTTTATTACACGATGTTATTCCTTCACCGTGGAATTCATTCGTGAACATTTGTTAAGTACGTATTTCAATGCACTGTAATGCACCGGACGTCTTATCCTTTAGGCCACGACGACTGCAATCTAATCTTAGTTTTTTTTTTAATGTCATTATATTATTTCTGACTTTTTGAATAATTTACAATTTTTTTAGTCATGGAAAACGGGTAACTTAAGCAGTAGAAGTAAATTTAATTATGTCTAGATTTAATTGATAAGATAGTCTTTAATTTTTTTGCAGGATCACCATTTAGAGACGGCAATAGAGAGTGGGATGAGAAACAACAAAATACAGTCTCAGAAAGATTTTATTTTCACATACTGTATAGATTTTTAAATCAAACTGATTTCCACTTAGTAAATACCACGTCCACATCCGCAGGTGGGGGCGCAGTGTCCGCAGATGGAGACGGCACCAGCGGCGCAGGCGGGACCTCCGAACTCGACACCACCGATGATGGGCACGCGGCCGCCGACAGCGGTGACACCACCGACGGGCAGCTCACCGGCGACTCCAACGTTACCAATACCCTCACCGCCGTATGAGCCGCAGCCATCGCCGTATCTATCGTCGAATCCATTCCAGCCAGCGCCAAGACCATTCCATCCGATTCCGTAGCCGTCCCAACCAGCTCCATAGCCCAGTCCGAGGCCACCCAGACCAGCTCCACAGCCGCAGCCGCCCAGACCACCCCAGTACTGGCTGTACACGTTCTACAAAATTAAAAAATATTCAAAATATAGTGTCTACCTTATCGGATCACAGGATGTTACAAGATAATAGTCTACTCGGAATATTAGTGGCCATGTCTAGTAGGCCACGTCCAAATTAACTACTAAACCTGCCATGCCTCTTTCTGAGAACAACCTATCATTCCCAAGGAGTAGAGAAAGTAACTTCAAGTAACAGCTGTATCAAAATATCGGGTAATATCTTCAGAAACCAATTGAATGTGACAACAACTAAGTAACGCATGCATAGACATGAAATTAAATTTAAAAAGCAACAACTTACTTGGATCAGGCAAGCCTGGACACAGAGCAGGAAGAATGTGAAGGTAGACATGTTGCTGTAGAGAATACTCCGATTGAATACAGAATGACTTTACTTCCATATTTCAGTTGTTTTATAGTAATTTGTTGGCTGATACTGCGAAAACATTAAGTAATAACAATTATACAATTTAGAAATGTTATTTTTAATCGAATATAGGTCACGTACTTTTAAATATTCTTTCCTATTACCGCTCTTAGATAATTTGTATTTCGAAAATGATTGTGGCTTTCACAGTCAAGTCACGTGTGTGAGATATGACAGTACCCGGCATTCTCTGTAAAAGCTGTGGAGCTTACACTGAATCCATTCCGAGGTTATTCAGTGAACCAAAATGGTAGCTAAGCTCATCTTCTTCGTCTGCGTTGCCGCTCGTCAGAAATTCAGTCAATAAAATTTAATATCGATGTGTTCTAGATCTATTGTTAATAGATTAAATAATGTCATTTGTGACTTCAGGCTGCTCTGGGCCAGTACCTCGGTCTGGGTCGCGCTGGTGTCGGTTGCGGTGGTTATGGCTGCGGTGGTCTTGGATAGGGTGATTTGCCCAATTACATCAGCGTTGCTTCTGCTCTCGGAGCGTCCCGTGGAGGAGCCCTCCCTGTCGTCACCAGTTCCGCCGCCCCCACCGGCCTTGGTGTGTCTTCCGAGAGCACGTACGAGCGAACTTTTATAGCTGCGTCAATCTGACTTTTCTCGGAGCCGCAGTCGTTGGCGGTGAGTTCGCTACTGGTGGCACTGGCGATATCAACTACAGCTGCGGTAATGGCGCCGTTGGCATCATCGCCGAGGACCGCGCCGGTCTCGGCTACGGCGCTGGCTACGGTCTCGGCTACGGAGGCTACGCTGGAAACGGATGGGGATGTGGATGTGGATGTGGTAGTGTCTAATGAATAGATAGATGTGCAGCAAAACTAGTCAAAAATAAATATAGCAAACTTTTTCTACAATTATGCTTTTATATTACTAACTGTCTTTTTTTTATTGCTTGCATATGTGGACGAGCTCTCCACCTTATGCTAAATGGTTACTGAATCCCATAGACGTGAACAACGTAAATGCCACAAATCACCTTGAGACCATGATTTCTAAGTCCCAGTTTTTCAATACAGTGGCTGCCCCACCCTTCAAACCGATTCGCATCACTGCTTCACAACAGTAATATGCAGGGTGGTAGTATCTAACCATGCGGGCTCACTAGAGCTTTACTACCAGATAAAAATATGCAGCTAGATAGAAACGCATTACTCATATGACAACACACAAAAATCTTTAAGGGCTTAATGTGATTTCCATGCTTTGGAATTTAGGTTGTTAGTGACCTTATTCCATACCCTAATTAGTTTAGGCATATATCGATATCGGTAAGTCTTTAGAATGGTAGATATAGTGGGATCCTCTATTCGTTTTGGGCCAATAAAACAGTTGATGGCTTCACACAAACTTTCCGTCTTTCTTAATAATTCCTTCTAAGTATAAAAATAAAACTATATGCCCAACACCCATTCGCTGTCTCTTTTACCTTCTAAAACGATCTCTCCTATATCCGTCACTCAATCATGATCCATAACGGTTCGAAGGGATTGGATCGGTTTGAAGGGTGGGGCAGCCGTTGTAACTATACTTGAGACCTTAGAACTTATATCTCAAGGTGGGTGGCGCATTTACGTTATAGATGTCTATGGGCTCCAGTATCCAGTTACCACCAAGTGGGCTTTGAGCTCGTCCATCCATCTAAACAACAAAAAAAATAATTAAAAAATCTGTAATTCGTTCATACATTACGTCAATGTTAGCAATGTGCGAACAAGTATGATTGCTTGTTTTATGTGTCGCGATCATCGTCTTTTATACCAATAGTAATCATGAAGTTACGTCTAGACCATCATCTTTGTATAATGCTGTCACCCAGAGCATTGACGGCCCCTCTGGTTTTATGTGGTTACTGATGCCTTTGAGAAATAAGGTTTATAATCTCAATCGTATAGTATAACTGTCGCGCTCTTCAAGCTGGAACGCATTATTTGGCGGCAGGATTATAAGGGTTTGTGGAATCTATAGGTGTGGACATACAATGAGCGTTGTTGCCAATTCTTATATAATCATCAACTTTTATTGAGACAAACCGCTTATATCTGTAGTTGTACTCTAAAACTGAGACTTAGAACTTGTGTCTCAATATGAGTGGCAGGATTTACGTTGTTGACGTCTATTGGCTCCAGTAGCCACTTAATGCCAGGTGCGGTGTGATATCTTCCATACATCTAAAGCAATAAAGAAAAAAAAACACTGAAGCCATATTCGCGGAATAATAGCTATGTTTGGTCAATTAAGAAGTTTGTTCCGGATCTTCTTGGGCTATGTTCGTGAGTGGTATTAATTACATAGTGTTTGGTTACATAATAAATGTAAAGCTAAAGCTTCATTCTTATGGAGAGCCATGGAAAATCCTTGACTGACTGTGGTGCATGCAACACCTTGGCCAAATTCGTGGGTCCTGATCAAAAGAAAACCTGTAAAATAAAAGAAGAAGAATTGATTGTAGGAGTCGACTGATGATCTGTTTAAAACACAAAAGAAAGAGACAGCGCAGAACCTGTCGTTGTAGCGAGGCTTAGGCAGGCCTATGCTCACGAGTAGATGCCTGCGGGCTGAAAGATAGATAGATAAATAGATACTCCAAAATCGTAAATTTTGTAATAATTTGCTTCAGAATCCAAACCAGGTGTTTGAGAATACAAAGTAAAATATTTAAGGGAGCTCTCAAGAGAACCTAAAAAAATTACACGTGCCTGATCATCTAACTCTGGGTAGTACTGTATGATCTGAGCTCCTCTCGAGCGGAAATATCTCAAAAGCCTGTTCAGGCCTTAAGTTTTGTTTCTGTTTCTACTCTCCGCCCTTTTGATTATATTTTCATAGAAGTGAATGATATTCTCACACCAGGTGAATCGACAAACTATTGAGATTCACTGGGATCTATCTGCTGGATGTAAGCAACGCAGGATAGATCGTTTTGGCGAGGTTTGACCGGGGAGGGGGCTATGTCCAACTGGAAACGTTTGTGGACGTGTGGATAGAATGACAGTCAAAGGCACTTGGAATCTCAAGTAGTACGACAGATCCAGCGTATAATATTTATAGCATTCTGATGCCTATGAGCTATGAAGAATAATTTTGGAGCTATATAGAATTGAACTATATAATAAAAAGACAGAAGATGAACTTGTAAATAATAATGAAATCATTTATTGCCTTATAATTTTATTATTTTTTGTCAGTACCCGCACTTATGAGGGTCGTGACCATATACGCTTTGTCTCCATTTACTTCGGTCCCGTTTGACTAGAATAAATAGATTTTAAATAATATATAAAAGGTAAAAAGGGATAGTTCAGATCGATGCCGTCCAAAGTCTAAAAAAGTAGCCTAAGCTACTCCTTATATCATCAGTTACCTATCACAAAGTCCCGTCAAAATCGGTCCAGCCGTTCCAGAGATTAGCCGGAACAAACAGACAGAAAGACAGACAANTGCTTTCTCCTGAAGGATAACCGGGGGAGGGGTCTGGGTTTTATTTTGTGCCACCGGACGCGGCGACGGAGTGGCACGGGCTGGGGGCGCAACGGGAGTCTGAGGGCGGGGGCGCGACGCGTTCACGGCTTTGCTAATTTTAGCGGCCGCGGGAGCTCGAGACTCCGCGGCACGCTTCTTACCCTTCTGTACCAGGGTGCATCAGCTACCTATCACTGAAAGTCCCAAGTCAAAATCGGTCCAGCCGTTCCAGAGATTAGCCGGAACAAACAGACAGAAAGACAGACAAAAACTGTAAAAGTAAAAAATGTTATTTTGGTGTATGTACCGTATATATATTCATATGCATGTAGTAAGAAGAGGCTATTTCTATATTACAAACAGACACCCCAATTTTATTTATATGTATAAATGAACCGTCTTTATTTCACAATCGCACCACATTGCCTGGGAGTGGAGTTCTAAGACATTGGGTGGGACGATGTGTTTCCAAATTTTTAAATATCGCTTTTGCTACGTATTAATACGTTCTGGGATTAATTCCACTGCACGGTTTTTCCCTGAAGCTATTAAATGTCATGTCTTTATCGGTGTGAAATTAGTCCTTAGTGGTGATAATTGACTTGGCTGTAGACCATGGACTTGTTTTCGGGAACAGTTAAAACCCCCCCAAGATAGAAAGGTCATCAGGAGTACCGACATACACCAACGGCAGTAATAACTGGCGGTTACAGGTAGTAATAATAGTTACTGGTGGTAGAACCGCTTGTCAGTCCGCATGAATAGGTACCACCACCCCGCCTATTTCTGCCGTGGCATTTTATACAAAACTGTTACCAAGTATCCTATTCAAGGTACGTGACTTTCTGTTAAGGTCCTTCCTTATATAAGCTTCAATAAAGATAATCTAGAAAACTGATGTAACATCAACGTTTTTTGTACTATTTTTTTTTTTTTCTAATAGAACGTGCCTATTTAATAGAATAGAGGTTTTGTAATTTTAATATTTATTATTACGGAATTTAAAAAAAATGAATCTAGGCTGAATAGTATAAAAGCGTTAGTTTTTAAAAGAGCCTTCATTCTGTATCTGGACGAGAAAACAAAACAAAATGTCTATCTTCGCTTTCCTTCTCATCTGCATTCAGGCTTATCTGATCCAAGTAAGTATTTACTGCAATTATGACGCTACAAATAAAATGAAAAGATTCGGTTTTCGTTTCACAGCCCACCTGATGTTAAGTGGTTACTGGAGCCCATAGACATCTACAACGTAAATGCGCCACTCACCTTGAAATTTAAGTTCTAGGGTCTCAGTATAGTTACAACGGCTGCCCCACCTTTCAAACCGAAACGCATTACGGCTGAAATAAGCAGGGTGGTGGTACCTACCCGTGCATACTCACAAGAGGTCCTACCATCAATAATTAGTCAACTCTAACATCTTTTAGTATCTTTAAAATCTCATAGCATGTCCA